ACACACACCACGTCACCATAACATGAGCAAAAAGAAGAAGAATGTGGGGTAGATAAACAAGTAAATGTATTATCATGCTCAACAATCTTATCATACCAGTGATGTTAATGCATTTCAGATTCATGCAAATGATCAACATCATTAACAATACAATCAATCAAATTAACACCCAAGTAAGAGCAATTTGCATAACCTTGACTCATAGCATCAGAAATGTTAAAGGTAATCTGTTGGTCCCTAAAGCCCATGGTAATGACCCCAGCTTTCACATTAATTATGGTTTGGGTTGTTCTAAGAAAAGGTCTTCCTAGAATCAGAGTGCTATCAGCTTTAATCTCATTAGTCATGTCTAGTACATAAAAGTCAGCTGGGAACACAAGACCCTTCACTTGCATAAGAACATACTCAAGAAAGCCCTTAGGGTGTCTCACAATCCTATTAGCTAGACCTAGCATAACACTGGCATCTTTCAAGGCATGAATATCTAAACACTCATAGATAGAGGTAGGCATAACATTTATGGCTGCACCTTGTCACATCCAGTATTATGATAATTGGAGACAAGAAATATTCTCAAATTATTGAGGATTAAAAATAATAAGGAAAAGTCAAAGAATTTTGGTGGAAAATAATTACAGCAATTTTCCAAGCCAATTATAGGAAATTGACTAATTAAAGAAAATTGGTCAAATGTAAATAAGGAAAAATATTTTCGAGCCATGGAAAATTAAGGAAAAATAGGGATAATATCCTTTGAGATTTATATGAAATTATAAAGTTGGTTTTATGACCAAATTACCCTTAGAGAAATTATAAGAGAATTTAAGGGTGATTTAGGCTAATTGAGGGATTTTATTTGGAAAATTCCAAATAAATATTTTAAGAGGAATAAAATTCCAAGAAAATTCCTATGAGATCCCAAGGAATTATAAGGAATTATGGAATTAAATGGAAACCCTCAAGTGTCCAAGATTTTTCCAAATAAATGTGAAAAGTGGAAAAATCCCTAAAGAGAGGGAAATTAATTTTCCTTTTTATTTAAATATTAGGAAATTAATTTTGAGACAAAGAGGACAATTTGGGAAGACAATAATGAGGAGAATAAATTAAGGATCTGATAGAAAATAATTACAGAGACTAAGATACTGTAATTATAAAAAAGAAGTTAAACTCAGAGCCTAAAGTATACCGATAAAGCAAGATTGGTGTCTTGCAAATCCAAGGGATCCTATTGAGCCATGTGTCAAGCTCTTGAAGGAGAAGATTTGAATTAGCCAAGTGTCATTCCATGAATGGAGAGGATTTTGACTTTAGTAAATAATTTCATTTGGAATTATGTTAATTAAGAGAGAGGAATCAAGACTTAGTAGGGTAATGACACTTGGACTATCATTAAAGAAGGTTGTTGGGATATTTTGAAGCCTTAATCAAGCTCTTCTCTCCCCATTTTCAGATGTTCATTTCGTGCAAGGGAGAAAAATAGAGAAAAAGAGAGAGTTTGAGAGGAAACAAGGAGAAAGGGAGCACTTTTGATCATCCTAGCAAGGTTTCAAGGTTAGATCTTGGTCCTAGAAGTGTTCTTACTTTGGTTTCTTTCATTTTTATGGTTTAAAATCTGTCTCTTCCCTCTCTTAATGTGGACCAAACTGATTAATAAAAAGGGGAAAGAAGTTTTGATCATAACACTTGCTAAGACACAACAACACAAGCTAGATCCTAGTGTTGGCAAGTGAGTTTAAGTGATTTTAAAGCATTTTTCATGGTTGTTGTTGTGAGACTTATTTTCGGCCAAGTGAAGAACTGGACCCTAGGATGAGCTTTTCATTGTTTTAAGGCTTCCATGATGCTTAAAATGAGGAATGGTGTAGGGTAGACTAAAAGAAACAAGTGTTGGAAGCCTAAAAGCAAAGCTGAAAATTTTGGGTCAAAACCTCTAGTGGTTTGGTCGGTTTGTGGCTGGAAGAATCAGTTTTATTTTCACAAATCTAAGCCTATTTTTGGAATCTACATGAAAATCCATGTAGGAACAAGTCAAGGAGTGATTTTTAGGGTTAAAGAGAACCAAATCTAAAACTAGTGAACAAAGGAGGGAACTTTATGGTCCAAGAATCATTTTGATGTATGTTCTTGCTTTTTCATGGTTGGATAATGATTCTTGCTGCCATTTTTGTTGAATCACATGGTTAGGGTTTGATATTTGCCAAGGGAAAGAGGAGAAGGAAGAAAGGCTAAGACTTTTGAAGCAAGGTAGTAAGTTAAACCTAGCTACTACCACTAACTAGCATTGTTGATTATTGTATGGTTACTTGCTATTATTGTGATTGAGCTCTCTTGATTGTTATGTGGCTGCTCTTTATAGTATCTTGCTTTGGCCTTTGCATGATTGAGTCTGCCAAATGATAAGCATGTTAGTTCATCCATAGTAGCTAATGTGATCATGCATAATAATGATGCTTGCTTGTGATATAGTTGGTTAATTTACTACTAGGATTTCTAAAAATCTCATCCCCCAAGAATCATGTAACATTTTAGGGCCTGAATCTTCAAAAGGGAAGCTGCAGATTGAAGGTTGAATTGTGGAGTTTAGCCACAAAATTCGTGAGCTTATTTTGGTTATGTAAATATTAAACTAACAGTGCTGGAAGCACACTGACCCTGACCGGTTCACATGACTTTTTGATTATGTTCCCAAATGCGTTAAATCGTGAAATTTGGCATGATGAAAGATGACATCATGAGCTTCAAATTGATAGCTAATACGTTAAAAATGGCCCAGTATACAATTTATAATGATTTTTCAAAGTTAATGGTCAGAATCTGGACATCAGGGTTTTTGGCAAATGGACAGTGTTGTTTTCCTAAAAACCTGACGCTTTCTCATAAAGAATTGGACAATGAGATTATTTTTTCTTGAAAGAGGACTTAAAGAGCTTTAAGTATAATTTTGAATCACCCCAATTGGATTTTTGTAGAATAAGTTATGAATTTTTGAAGTTGGGCCAGAAAAACTGGATTTTTACCCGATGAACAGTGAAAATCCGAAAATTAGCGTTTTTATGGTAAAAAGTGAGCCCAAGACCATCCAATGTGGTCAAAAATGATTTTGAAAAGGAACCTAAGTCAATATTATAGTAAGGTGTGACACACCTAAGTCTAGTAAGGCATGTGAAATGTTTGTTTTGCCTATGGTATAGGGAATAGTATAGGAACCTGGGTCTTTACACTTAATAGGTAGCTGTGGCTTGAAGATAGCGCTAACACTAGATCCCAGTTGGATTCTCTTACTATGCCTATACTTCCTCTTGTTTGTACAAAGATCTTTCAGAAACTTAGCACACTTAGGCATCTTTTTAATCAAATCAAGTAGTGGCACATTAACCTCAAGTTTGCTAAACATCTCAAAAAGCTCATCATTATCTTTCTTTTCAGCAACTTTCTTACTCATGAGATATGATGAGGAAAAGGCAAGTTAGAAATGCTTACCTCATCACCTCTGGAAGGTGATCCTTTCTCTATTGGCCCTTTGGATTGAATGGAGGTCTCTTGAGTAGTCTTGGGAATGTCTTGAGTGGTTTTAGAAGGAGGAAACTCAACTTCTATCTCTTTGTCAACTAGCTCTTCATCATCTTCATCATCTTTGAATTGCACTTTCTTAGCACCAATTTCCTTATTGCTTCTCAATGTGATCATATTTAAAGATTTAGGATTTATCATCGTGTTGGAAGGCATTGAACCACTAGCCTTAGCTTGTTGTTCACTCATACCTTTTGACAACTTAGTAACATAAGAAGTCAAATTAGAGGTTCTGGTTTCCCATTGCTCCATCCTATTCTCTAGGGCTGCAAATCTCACTTCAGATTTAGCTTCAGACTTAGATATGTGCTCTTTCATTACCTCAATGCCCTTGAGTATTCAAGAAAATTGCTCATCATCCTTCGATTGTGGTTGCTGTGGGGTAGACATGGCTCTAGAGGATTTTCCTTGTAACCCTCCATAGTAAGATTGCCCTTGAGAAACCATATTCCCTTGAAACCCTTCTTGAACTTGCCTATTGTCACCTCCTTCCTATCGGAGATTCGGATGAGCTTTCCACCCTTCATTATATGTATTTGAGTATGGGTTCCATTGCTTGGATTGATTGACCCTTTCTTAATACATGGCAGAAACTTCCGCACATTTGTGAGGGCAAGTAGCAGAGATGTGCACAACAGAATTACAATGCTCGCAACTAGGTGCAGTCATCTCCATAGAATTAGGATTCCGAGTGTTAACAAGAGGAGTATGAGATGCAAGCTTATTCAACTATGTAGTCAAAGCAGCAATTTGAGAAGTAAATATGTCCAATTGAGGAATATGGACTGAAGAAGGATTAGGATGCATTGCATTGACATTTTTAGACTCCCTGATGTTATATTGTTGATTGTTCAAGGCCATTTTCTTGATAAGTTCCCGTGTCTCCTCAACAGTTAAATTAATAATAGAACCCCTAGAAGCAGCATCCAACATCCCCTTGTCTTGGGTCTTAAGTCCATCATAAAAGTATTGGACTAACTGTTCATCTGGAATCTGATGGCGTGGACATATAGAAAGCAAGTTTTGAAAACGGTTCTAGTAGTCATAAAGTGACTCATCATAGTCTTGCTTCATAGAGTAGATCTTTTTTCTCAATGTGAAAGTCCAAGAAGTAGGGAAATACTTCTCTAAGAATGCCTTTCTGAGATTGTTCCAGTTATTAGAGGCATCCGCCATATGCCTAGGCAAGCTCATATACCATTCTTGCGATTTGCCCTCCAGAGACAAGTGGAATACCTTCCAAAGAACCTCATCCAGACTAGCCTCGACCGGCTTCATGCTAGAACATACCATAGAGAGAGATTTTAGATGATTGTACGGGTCTTCACCTGTCAAACCATAGAATTTAGGCAAAGAATTAAGCAGTGGACCTTTAATCTCAAAATTAACATCAATATTAGGGCATGCAACATTAAAAGGATCATAATTCGCATCAGAAGTAGTGGCTTCCCTAATGGTTTTTCTCCTAGGGTTGCCTCCATTATTCTCTCCTACTTTATCATGTTTCCCATTATGTCTATTGCCCCCTCTACCATTATCACCATTGGGATTGTTATTAGTTTCCATTATGTCACCTAAGTCAACCACCAAATCTAGACCAGTTAAATTGTCTAGTTCAACCTCACTAGTCCTTTCTACCCTTTGGTCTTGTCTAACTTCACTTAAAGAACTCTAAAGCTTAGGATTGGAAGGAACAGGGTTTTAGACCTACCCTTTCTTGGCATAAACAATCAACTAACCAGAAGCAATTAAGCAAAAAAAAAAAAAAAAGATGAATGCAGTGCATGTGTAATAAAAATGCAAGAGCTAAAATGAAAGTGAAAAAGAAAAATGCAAATGAATAAAAAATCAAGATATTTAGTTGTATTTTTTGAATTTTTTTTGGCAAATGAAAGGAGTGCTATGAAAAATCAAAAGAAACAAATACAAACTACTAAAAAAAAGTGCAAAAACGAACAAAAATGAAAACTAAAAATGCTCAACAAATGAACCCCAATCAAGGTTACTTGACACTTAATTACTAGGGAACCAATTTCTTGGCGCCTCGCTAACGGCGCCACTTAAAGATAATTACCCTTAATTTATCGCTTTAGGGTTACTCCAAAAATTAACCGAATTAATATAATATAGTGCGCAATCCAGGTCGCATTCACTTTGAGGAGCTGAAAACGAAATTAAATCCTAATAAATAAATGCAAGCAACCTAAACTATAAAAAAAGATTTCTGATTTGACAATTTCTAATCAAACACCATGAATTAAATTGAAATTAAAATACTTTTTTTGTTTTTATATAAAAATGATTAAAATGAATGAAGATTAAAGAAATGAAAATGAAACACACAAATAACAATGATAATAATCAATCCTCCAATTCAACAACGCAGGCAATCATCACTCTAAAAGATGTGGGAGTTAAAACAATGAATTAAGAATTATAATTAAACTTTTAATCCAACAACTGAGCCACCTCAAACTGTCAAAATATTTTTCCAAAATCCAAATTTACTAACTGCAACCAGAGTAGTAAAATAGAATTAAGGATGCTAAAAACCAATGCTTAATTAAAATTCTTAAATCCAAAACAATAGAATTAAAGCTAGCAAGAGACAATATGATCCAAGATTCCAAGCTACCTCAAAAAATCACAATATATTAACTCTGAAATCAATACAAACGTCATAACCACAGCATTATAATTGAAATTAAAACTATAAACAACCCAATGTCAAATGCTAAACAATAAGCTAGTCACAATAATCTCCAAATATAATCAAATTAAACAATACAAATTTTTCAATAATCAGAATAACTATCCTAAGACCTAGGGATTGTTAAACAATTGTTGAACAGGAAATTAAAATAACTAAAACTCCCATTTGATGATCCGAGCTCCTGCCATTGTTGTTGAATTAGAGCATTATGAAGTTAGCCATGGATTGCCATAAGAATTGCTGTAATCAAAGATCTGCTACAAGGTTCCATAGAGAACTTGGTAAAGATATCAATGACAGTGACGAAATAGTGCAAGCGTTGATGGAGAATGACACCGTCAAGTTTCTGTTTGCCTACATCACTGTTGTTCTGTTGGTTTATTGTGCCTGTCACAATCTCTCTGCTACCAGGAGATTCAGTGAAGAAGAAGAAGACTTGAATAGTGCCTCCACGTTTGCTTCACTCTCGCGTTGTCTCCTCTTGCTCACTCTGTTTGCTGTTTTTCTCTCTGGTTTGCCGCTCCTGTTTCTCTTTACGTTGCTCCCTGTTCGGCCTTTCTTTTTCCGCCACCAGCCTTGTTCTGCTTCTTTTGTCCAGCTCGTGTGCGTGTGTGTACACCTCCCTTTAGATGATGATTATTAGCATATTAGGTTGGGGCAACATGCAACGTTTTGCCCCCTTATTATATTATTTTTTTCTTATTTATTTATTTATTTATTTTTCTTTTCTTCATATTTTTTTATTTTTTATTTTTTAATTGTCCAAAAACCTGCAATCAAAATTCAAGACTAAGATAGCATTAATTATCCTTAAAAATCAATTAGTCACAATTAAACCAAAAAATGACAATTTTGCCTCTATAAAATAATAATCCAAAGTAAAACATATTAAATCAATTAACAATTAATTAAGGTCAAAAGGACTAATTAAGTTGACAAAACCCATATAAAAGATATCAAAATATATAAAAATAATTGAGTTTGTCACTAAAACCTTCAACATTATTGTTAGTTCTACTGGTCTCTCTAAAATAATAACTCCATACCACCACTTATTTGCTGAATAAGTTTTCCTTGCCAGAACAGTACATTAAAATCATTTAATCAATGGGAAGTGTGGGGGTAAAGAAGGAAGGGAGGAGGATCGAGAGTTTCTGGTGGTTGCACTGACTTGGGAATTGTGTCAACCCTTTCTTTGGCTGCCCACTATGGTGGAGAAAATGACAAGTGAGAGACCTCCATTGCCCAATGCGGCGGAGGGAAGAAAAATTTTCTGCAGTACACTCTTTGTGAACTGTGGAGGAGAGTGAAAGCGTATCACTTATCCATTTGGAATGGAACAGCAAGTTGCTGTCCAGCTAAAGGAGAAAGGGGAACAAACCCCTAGTACAGAAGATGCAAGAATAAAGAAGAAAGTTAAAATAAGAGACAAGAAGGAAGCTATAACAGAAATGGATACTGAAGAGGCCAATCCCACAGAGCAAGATAGGCAAGAGAGACATGGACTGCAACGCCAGCTCTTTCAAGATGAGCATTCTAACATGATGGAAGCTGAGGATACCTTTGTGAAGATTCCCTCAAAGAAAGCTGGACACATGCCTTCCTTAAAGGATAAGCTACCGGGGGGGACTAAATCAGGCTGTCATGGACCCAGACCCCCGCAAGATGTAGAAGTAATGCAAGAAGATATCCTGATTGATAATGAAGGACTCATACCTTTGACACCTTCTCGCAAAGAGTCAAGGATCTCATGGCTAAATGTGTAGAACTAGCCGTGGTGGTCAAGCTTCTAGGAAGATACATCAGGTAAGATATCCTTTTTGGGAAACTAATGGTCATGTGGAAACTGACAGGTACCATCAAGCTCACTGAACTTGAAGGCAGTTGCCATATGGTAAAATTTCAAAACCATGCAAATTATCAAGTGGCCATGCTGGGAGGTCCTTGGGTGGTGCTAGGGCATTATCTCATTGTCCATCTATGGGAACCAACCCTCTCCTTGACCAATCTGGATATTAAATAGGTTTTCAGATGGATCTGACTACCGAGACTCCCCTATCATTACTACCATAAGAGTGTGTTGAGGGCGATTAGAGGGGTGATAGGGCAAGTGTTGAGAATTGATTACAACACAGAAGGAGTTGAGAAAGCAAGGTTTGCACGACTTACTGTTAAACTGGACCTTACCAAGCTGCTGGTGTCAATACTGAAACTAGTTGGTGTAACCTAAAGAGTGGAATATGAAGGTCTCCCCATAATATGCTATTAATGTGGGCGCTATAGACACCTGGAAACCGGTTGCCCACTGGTAAATCCAGCTCAGTCAGAGGAGACCACCTCGAGTGAGACATTGATAGGGCACGTGAAGCACACCCTTACGGTGCCCGAATGCATATGCCTTCTCGATCTTGGAGAACAAATCGCAGTGACAGAATGCAGTTAGAGAAGAGCAGTAGACGAGAAAGCAACCAGTTCAACATCCTAGCAACCTCACAGGACACAGGATTACGTCAGAATTGAAACCTAACGGTGAAAGGAAATGTGGAAAAGTCATCGGTTAGCCAACTACAAGAGCATAAACGAGCTAGTAGGAGAGAGGGCGGGGTCAAATCAACTTCTACAAAAGGGAAAAGGCCTGATAGAATGGCTAGTTTAAAGAACCCTGATCATACTGAAACCCCTAAAGAATCAATCTTTGACTCCCCAGCATACGAAGCAATGTATATATCCACGAACCTAGATAAAGATAACTATACAGTTGTAGCAATCACGGACCCACGATATGCCCTTAAGCTAGTCTATGGGAAACGGCCTAGAGACACTGAACTGGCCCCCTAAAAACCAAGTCCCTCCAAATAAGGAAGGAAAACTTGTTGCCTAAGCCCCCCGACAAGAGTCCTTCAAAGGTTAGGTTTAAATTACAAAGTAACATCAAGGTCAAAGCCTTTAAACCCAAAGTTAAGGATGCAATAGGTACCCCATCGGAGGAACTCACGAAAGCATTGGCAGAGGCATTAGGAACATCCCTAACCTCTGACGGAGATATTTCATTTATTGAGGTGACAGAGACAAGCTTTGAAGAGGACTTGGCCTCAGAGAGATCCGAGAAAGACCACCAGTTACTATGATCCCTTCCATCTTTGTCTGGAACTGCCAAGGGGCAGCATCAACTCATTTCCATAGAGCTCTTAAAACCTTGTTAAATGACTACAAGCTTGATATAGTCATCCTTGTAAAACCTAGAATCTCTAGAATTAATGATGATCGAGTAATTCAAAAAATTGGGTACACTCACTCACATCGAGTAGAAGCGTCAGGATTCTTTGGTGGTCTTTAGATTTTGTGGAACTCTAGAATCACTGTTGCACCTCTCGCTAATAATAAACAATTTGTTCATGTCATGGTCTAAGGCAGGGTGCAAAACTAAAAGTTCTTCTTTATAGCAATCTACGGAAGCCCCAACCCTATGTTTAGAAGCTACTTATGGGAGGACCTTCTTAGACTTGGTGTGCAAGAAGGAGAGCCATAGATCCTTGCAGGTGACTTTAATGCTACCTTAGCTGTTGAGGAAAGGAAGGGGAACAAACAGAGCATGAGCAGGATGCTCTACCTTCAGAAACTTCCTGGATAAAGCCGATTTACTAGACTTAGGCTTTATGGGCCCAAAATATACCTGGCAAAGGCGAGATTTGTTAGTTCGGCTCGATTGAGTAATGGCCAATAATAAATGGATCCTGGACCAGCCTAACACTCAGGTACTCCATTTTCCCAGAATCCTAAGTGACCACCATTCGATTCTCATCAAAACAATAGAAGAAGCCCATTCCATTAACACCCCATATCACTATCTTGCCTGTTGGGCCCAATACTCAGATTTTAGCAACTTAGTCAGGCAATCCTAGCAACCTGATGTTTCCTTGGCTAATAACATAGCCCACTTCATGGAAAATGCCCAATTATGGAACAAAGAAACCTTTGGACACTTGGGGCAAAAAAAAAAACGATAGATCGGTGGTATACAAATGGTGCTTGAGGGCAACCCCTGCTCCCACCGTCTTCTCACTATAGAACGTATACTCCTAGCTGAGTACGAAGTGTCTGCACTCACGAATAAATCCTCTGGCTCCAGAAATTAAGAAGTTAGTGGATCAACAAAGGGGATTGCAACATCAAAAATTACCACACTAAAGCGCTCATCAAAGATGAAAAAATAACATCCTGATGCTGAAAAATAAAGTAGGTATGTGGATCTCTAACCAGCAACAGCTTGGGGACATGGCTGCAAATTATTATCAAACTCTGTATGCGCAAGGAATGGGGCCCTCTCTAAAGTGTAACTATGAAGGTCTGTTCCCTCCCATTGCTAACTCGCTCCTGCACTTGCTTGATATTCCAGTCACTCTAAGTGAAACAAGAGCTGTTCTCTTTGATATGAACCCCCTTAAATCTCCTGGAGCCGATAGGGTACATGCCCATTTCTTCCAAACTCAATGGAGCATTGTTGGGACCTCTATCTTTGAAGAAATACAAGCAATTTTTGCTGGTGAAGAAATAGACCCCTCCCTTAACCGAACTCTGATTGCTTTAATCCCCAAAGTAGACCATCCACAAACACTCAAGGAGTTCAGGGCAATAAGTCTATGTACCACAATCTATAAATTAATCACCAAGATTATAGCCAACAGACTTAAACTACTATAACCATCTTGGCTTCACTGTACCAATCAAGCTTCATAAAAGGCTAACTCATTACAGACAACATCATAATAGCACAGGAAGTCATACACTCTATGTGGAGGAAGACAGGGAAAAAGGGGTAGATGGGAATTAAAGTGGACCTGGAAAAAGCTTTTGACCGCTTGAGGTGGGATTTTATTGAAGATACCCTCAAGGATACGCAGCTTCCAGAAAGGTTAATACAACTCATTATGAAGTGCATTACCACTTCTTCAATACAAGTCATCTGGAATGGGAAAACTCAAGAAGCTTTCAAGCCGCAGAGGGGAATTTGATAGGGAGACCCTCTATTACCTTAGATTTTTGTTCTCTACATAGAGAGACTTTCACAGTAATAACCAAGGAAGTTAACAGGGAAACATGGAAACCGATAAGAATGGTGCGACAAGGACCACCCCTGTCCCACCTCTTTTTTACGGATGACCTTACATTTTTGTTCTCTATATGGAGAGACTTTCACAGGTAATAACCAAGGAAGTTAATAGGGGAACATGGAAACTGATAAGAATGGTGCGATAAGGACCACCCCTGTCCCACCTCTTTTTGGCAAGCAAGTTGAACTAATCCATAAAATGCTTGGAGACTTCTGTACCTCGTCGGGTCATAGTGTTAGCATAACTAAGACAAGGATTTTTTTTCCTCCAAAAATGTTCCAGTGCAGGAGGCCAATAATGTTTGTTCAAGATTGGGGGTTCAAAAAACATACAACCTTGGCTTCTACTTAGGTGTCCCATTGCTGCATAAAAGAATGTCCCAAGAAACTTATAAGTATATTGTGGAGAAAGTTCAAAGAAAACTCTCAGGCTAGAAGGCAAAGATGCTAACACATGCCAGAAGAATCATAATAGCCCAGTCCGTTCTCTCCTCTATCCCCATGTATGCTATGCAATCTATAAAGCTACCTCTAGGTACATGTAACAAAGTCCAAAACCTCATTCAAGACTTCATTTGGGGTACTACTAGCACCCAAAAGGCAATCCATCCCATTAAAAGGAATGAGCTCTTCCAGCCTAAGCATAGTGGAGGATGTGGCGTGCAGAACCTGACAAGTCAAAATGTAGCTTTTCTGATAAAAATTGGCCAAACTGTTATAACAAGGTCGGAACTACTTTGGATGCAAATATTAAGGGCCAAATATGGATGGCAATACAAAGGAATGCCGCAGGACCCACCTCGCAATGCCTTTCACCTATGGCGGAGCATGTTTAATATTTGGCAAGATGTTGAAGCAGGCATGAAGTGGAAAATTGGTGATGGGAATAGGATCCAGTTTTGGATGGATTTCTGGGTAGGTGATTTGGGACCATTGAAGAATCTTGCTTTTGCACCCCTCCCTGAAGACACACTACAAAGAAACTTAAGGTGGTATGTTAACAGCCAAGGGCACTGGAAATGGAGCAAATTTATTAATCTGTTTCTGAACGAGGTAACAGAACAAATTGAGCAAGTCAGCCCCTTAACAGTAGGGAACGGGCTTGACACTGTCTCATGGTCAGTTAATGGCACAAAAGACTTTTCAGTTAGTTTTGCTTATCAGTTCCTAGATTCACATGATGGAGCAAAGACAGACAAAAATGGAGCTTAGCATAGACATGGCTGGGACCACAGAGAATACGTACCTTCCTCTGGCTTGCAATAAGAGAAAAAATCTTAACCAATAAGGAAAGAGTAAGAAGACATATGGCTTTTAACGAAACCTGCAGAGTTTGTGGAAATCACACTGAAGATCTGAAACACATCTTTAGGGCCTGCTTTCTTGCACTTGACTGTTGGAAGTTAGTCGTCCTGTCAGGCAAGCTCAATGTGTTTTTGGCACGTCCTTTCGAGGACTGGTTCCAAGTGAACTTAGAAGGAGCCTCTCATTAGAGTACCCTCTTTGGCGTAATTTGCTGGAAGCCATAGAGCACTAGGAATCGCTATCTTTTTTGTAGAGAGAAAATAGAGGCTTATCGCTTAGTCAATGAAGCCCTTGCATGGGCGGATCATATTAGGAAAGCTCAGGCTATCATATGACTATGTTTTGCGTTCTTTCTACCTCTTTCCTTACATTAATCTCTTGTAAATATTATTTTTTTTAATGAATTCTCTCATTCAAGAAAAATCATTTAATCAATGCTGATCAGGTGGTAGTTACTAATTATCATACAAGACTTGGTTACAGCATTCATTATAAATTAATTCTTAAAATAGTGAAATACAATTTCGGGGCCTGTATACCATAGCCAACTTACTTTTCTTGTTTAAATATATTGTTTCTAATATTGAGTGCAATTCTAGTGAAAAAAAAAAGAATGCTAATGGTGGTAAAGGAAACAAATTTGGAATGAAATGAATTTTACAAAAAACGAAGACAGAAAGCAAACTCTTCCCAGCCAATTTCCCAGTCAAAGCATCATCTCTCATCTCACATAATAAATAAAGCACTTTCTGCAAAGTCTTCAACTTTACTTCTCACATTAAAATATAATCACGAAGCTGCATTCCAATTTCTAGGATCTTTCTCTCCACCACCCCTCACTACAAAAAAAAAAAAGATTTTGAGCAGCGACAAAAGTCACCACCGAAAATCAAAAAGTCACCGCTAAAAGTTTTTAGCGGCCACAAAGAGTCATTACCAAGTCGTTGCTGCAACGACTGTCGCTAATACTTATTAGCCGTGACAAAAAAAGTCACCGCCGAAAGTATAGTTTCAACAGTGACTTTTTAAAACTAAAAAATGTTGCCACTAAAAATTAAGTTGCTACCAAAAATATACTTTCAATGGCAACAATAAATCACCACCTTCAGCAGCAACATTTTAAAGGCTACCTTCAGCAACGACTATTAATATTGTCGCTGAATGTTACCTTTAGCGGCGACAATTAAGTTGCCACTGAAAGTAATTTTTTTAAAATATATAAATTATAAATTAAATTATTGAATTTACTTTCAGTGGCAACTAAATTGTCACCGCTAAAGGTTACCTTGTCGCCATTGAAAATAAAAAATATTTTAAAATATATAAATTAAATGGTTAAATTTAAAATATATTTTTTTTAATAAATATCAAAATAAAATAACGAATAACTAAATTAAAATCACAATAGAGAATTAGCCATTAATATTAATAATATATCAAATACAATATTCACATAATTTTTTACAATCATAAAAATAATTAAATTTCATTAAAGAGAGTACAACAATTATACAATTAAAAGATAAATGCATCAATAAAGATAATCCTAACAAATATTAAATCTCCTAAATTGCTAAACTATCCAGAATTATTGTTTGGGTTCACAAGTGGTCAAAGCTCAGGTCACAGCAAACTGAATGTCACTGTAGAGAAAAAAAATTGAGCCATAAATTAGCTAATGAATAAATAAAAATCACAAACATTATAATATATAAAATCCATACGAAATATACATGAAGCAATACTTAATGTTCCAATCGACAACAATAAACTAAATACTTTTTCCCTTAAAAGCAATCTTTGAGAAATAAAATAACAAGCATAAATATCAACCTTATTCATGATTAACTTCTTTCCAAAACTGCTTACCCCCTTCTAAGCAGTACTCAGAAAAAAGAATAACAAGCATAAATCAACTTTACTCATAGCTAACTATTTTGCAAAATTAAAGTGCACATGTATAGATATGAGCAATACTCATAAGCATTGAGAGAAAGGAATAGATAGAAATAGAACATAAATAAGACACAAAATATCATTTTTTTATATGAATAGAAAAATTATAAAAATAATATATATAATTGCATCAACTTAACCTTCACCTATATAACATTTTATTAAAATCCAATAGACCAAATTTTCATTAGTATCATAGTTTCCATTGCCCTTTTTATAATATTTATGTACAATCCATTTCCCCTTCCTCTTTATAACGGAAAAACTAGTTTGGCAAAGCCTAATAGCCCAAAGACAATAGATTTTTAATTTAGTGTTCT